ACAGGACTTCCTACACTAAAGTATGAGAGCAAGAGTGTCCTCCAGATGATTCCTGAACTCTGACAGGCTTGATGCTGTGGGGAACCTGTTCCAGTGATCGACCACCCTTTATGCAACAACTTGTAAAAAATGCTTAAGGTATTAATGGGCAAAGAAACTGTCTTTGGAAACTACCACAGAAACTGGATGACATTTGGATACTGCACGTTAAAGAAAGGAAGGCAATCAATCAATTGCATGCACTCAAAAGGCCTATTAAATACAGAAAATTTCCAAAATTCAATGTATTTTATTAATTGTTTTGATTATTTTAGGAAGTTTACTATGCCAAATTTTCTAGTTAAGACTAGTTCTGCAAATTTTAGCCAAATTAAAGACTCTGAATTGCATAGTTTACCTTTCTAGAAGGCATGTCCTATGAGGAGCACCTAAGGACTCTGTGCTTGTCTAGAAGGTGGTGGAGGGGGTGGCCTCATTGCCCTCTGCAGCTTCCTGAGGAGGGAAAGGGGAGAAGGAGGTGCCGATCTCTTGTATTTAATGACAGGACACAAGGGAAGGGCTCAAGGCTGCACCAGGAGAGGGTTAGACTGGACATCGGGAAACATTTCTTTACCAAGAGGGCAATCACTGGCACAGGTTTCCCAGAGAGATGGTGGAGGCCCCAAACCTATCAGTGTTTTAGAAGTGCTTGGACAATGACCTTAACAACATGCTTTAACTTTTCATCAGCCCTGAAGCAGTCAGGCAGTGGGACTAAGTGATCATTTTACATTCCTTCCAACTGAAATATTCTATTTTCTGCTCTGCTATTGTACTCTATTCCCTTCACGATGTGTTAACATATGTACAATCCTGTATACTCAGGTAAAAGGATAAAGCAGTCATTTAGAAGAAAGTAGAGTATCAAAAAGCCTTATCCAGTTATGAAATATTATAATGGCAGTTCACCCTGTTGAATTCTAGCTAATTAGGAGTGCTGACAGACTAAATTAGTGAAAAATACTTAGAAGAAATGCGATTTGGAACTAAAAAACCTAAACATTAAGAAATGTAAATGTTACACTGCCATCCATGCACTAATTGTATTTAAGACTGGCATACAAAAAAGCTTAGCTATAACACAAATCCCAGTCTAGCTTAAATTGCAGGTAGAAAAGTCAGCTGCTACTCTACCATCTGCAAGAGATTCAACTTCTACTCTGATTAGCATCAACTATTCTTTTGATTGCTAGGAGAACAAAATGTAGTTTCAGGGGAAAAAACCAAGCAAACAAAAAACCCACAAGAGCTAAAGAGCCCTTTGCAGTTTTGTGTCAAAGGAAAATGTAAGGGACTAAACTTCAAAATTTTCCAAAGTTAGTTTGCCTTGATATCCTACTGGTAACTAAGTAGACAATGTATAAGAAACAAGCGTAGATGCATTGGTGCAACACTGCTGGAATTGAAAATCAAAAAGAACAGCAGCACATGACACTAAAAGTTAGCCTGAAACCAGCAGTACCCAATGGCAACTCTTGAAAGACAATGAATAACTACTCATACTGTTATTGTTCAGGCACAAGATCTAACATTATTAAATGTTAAAATTTAATATTGAAGATATTTAACATTATTAAATGTTAAATTTAATATCTAAGAGGATGCTCTTAGATAATTTATTCACACAAAGATCTCCACCAAGAAAATATACTTACAATTTGAACCACCATTTCTCTATAAGTTCTTCATGTTCTTCTACCATGTTGTTACACTCAAAGTTACTACTGTCACACAGATTCTCTATGATCTCTACAAGACGAATTTCACTACAACCAGAGAAGGAAAACAATAAATTTAATTTAAACTTTCCATACAACTCAAGACCTCACAGAGCAGCCAGACTTCAGTGAGAATATTTCATCAGTTTATGGGGTGCCCTGAATTAGTTTCAAAACATTAGAGTAAAGAACTAATAAACATTACTTCAGTCAAAAAAGAAACCCAAACCCAGAATAATGACCACAAGAACATTGTGACTTGCTCGCATTTACTATATTTCTAGATTGCAGGTTTAATAGATTTTTAGCTTCCCAGAAAATTGGAATGCAGTTCTTTAACGAACAATAAATTTAATGTATTTTTATTTGACACAAGCCTGTGAATCTCACAGCAACATCTCAGTGCTCCAACTAAGATAAAAAAGTGACTTTGAAATGCAGGACTTTTCTCCATGGTCAACCAGATATATGTACAGTAATTTGCCTTCTCTTTGGCACTGAAACAGTGACAACTCTAGGGAGAAGATACTGCTTTAATTCTAAATCAAGCGTTTCAGTACTCTGTACCTTTTATTACTAGCAATAAAGTATTGGCCATTATTTACATTTATTATTTTAAGACTTGAATAGGTAAATAGATAAAAAAACAACTACTATGAATAATAACAGAATTAACTTTTGTTGTTTTCAGAAACAGAAGGCAAACAGAGGCAATAATAAGGCGTTTGAGCCTTTACTATAATCCTGAGATTACAATGTTATGTAACATCATTAAGAATTTAAGGTTTGGACAAGAGAAACTTTAGGTGCCAAGTTCAGTATTGAAGTTCCAAACAAACACTGGTATAGTGAAGTTACACACAGTGAACAAAAAATGCAGATGAATGAGAAGTACAGACAGCTCACCTGGACTCATACTTTGACAGTGTCTTCTCTTCCCAAGCAGTGTTTCCACCACCAAAGTTTTTTTTAGCTGTATCTGCTAAACCCTATAAATAAAAAGCACCAGGAATTACATAGGGTTTGTTTCTAACAAAAATGAAGGCAATAACAAATGCTTACATAGGAATTATGAAAAGTGCCATGCATAAACTGCAGTAGAGCTCTCAAGCTGCTGATCAAATTCCTGAGTGAAAGCAACAGCTAATGACAACACAAGAAGCAAGAAAGTGTATGTCACAGCATAACATGATTAAATTTTCCTAATGCATACACAAGGACGTTACAGTCTTGATTTACAAAAGAAATCCAAAAAACATGCATGTATGAAACTTTACATTCTTCTCCCTCAAGTTCTCAGGAAAGTTATTTATTTATTATCATTTGAACAGGACCTCTGCTTCATTCAGTTTTGATAACAGCGCGGGCTGCACCAAGTTGTAAGTGAAGCACACAACCTGTACGACAAGGCGATCAGCACAGCTGTCCCCAGGCACAGCCGATGCCACCAGACGACACCTGGCAGAAAAACCCGCAGTTCAAGCGACCTGGCGAGCCTGCAGCAGCCGATACGTGTAAGGAGAGCACCAAGCGCCGCTCACCAGGCGCAGCAGCCCCTCGCTGCCGGCGCAGAATTTACCGAGGCACACGCAAGGCTGCTGCAAGCGGCAACAGACAGCGAGCGTTTGTGGATGAAGCTTTCCACCAGCACTTCCCACGGAGCTGGACACGCTGCAACGCAGCCAGCCTTTCCACACAACAAGCACCAAAACACCTTTGGCGGCGGAGACGGAGGAGCTCTGCCCCACACCCGCCTCAGCACTGGGACCGCTGCCGGAGCGGACCCGCCGCGGCTCCATCACCGGGCCGGGCGCCGCCCGGAACGCGGCTCCGGCGGAGGCGCTCCCGCAGCGCCCCCGCCGGGAGCCCCCGCGAACCCCTGACGCACCACGGGCCGCCCGCCCGCACCCCGCGGCCCACCTGGTTGAACCTGTCCACGATGCCCCGGCAGGTGGAGCACGCCAAGCGCCGCCGCTCACCGGCGCCGCGAACAGGCGGCGACAGCAACAGGGCGGCACAGAGCAGCACGGCCAAGGCCACGCGAGACGGCCGCGGCGCGGGGCCCGGTCGCGGAGAGGGGCCGGGCCCCATGGCGAGGCCGCGGCACCCCCGGACGCGGAGCGGGGCCGCCCCAGCCGAGCCCCCTCAGCAGCGGCGGCCGCGCTGGCCCCGCCCCAGCCCCGCCGGCCCGCGAGCTCCATTCAGATTTCCGCGTCAGCCCCACGCGCGCACCGGCCGCGGGCGCTCGTTGGTCGAGGCGGCGGAGCGAAGGGACGTGGTCCAATCAGCGCCCGCCACGCTCCGGACCAATGGGAGCCCCCCGCGTGCCCAGAGCTGGGCGGGGGGCGGGGCAGTGCTGTTGCAGCGAGCGTCGCCGCCATCATGAGAAAGGGCAAGCACGGGCTCCGTAGAGGCTTCAGAGCCGCCCGCCATCTGCATTTGGCAGCTGCCTCGGAGACCTTCTGCTGCCGGGGGCGTGCCCTGCCCTCACCCAATATGGCCGGCGGGGGAGGCGGTCACGTGCTGGCGGGGCTGGCGCTGCCGGCGCCCTCTGCGGGGCGGCCACGTGGGCGCGCGCGCGGTGAGTGCGGGAGCGGCGGCGGGCGCTGCCCGGGCCGGCGGGGCGGGCGGCGAGCGAGCGAGCGAGGGAGGGAGGGAGGGAGGGATGGATGGATGGGGCAGGGCCGAGCGGGACAGCCGCCAGCTGCCCGTGCCTTCGCTGCAGCCGGGCCAGAGGGCGTTCCCGGGAGCCCCGCCGGGCGCTGCTAGGCGGCCGCCCCAGCTCTCCGCCTCCCGGGCGCGGGAGGGAGCGCGGCCGGGCAGGGCCGGGCAGGGCAGGGCGGGCGCCTCCTGAGGGTGTGCGCGGGGCGCGGTGCCTGCCCCTGCCGCGGGGCCTGGCGGCCTCGGGGCGGCGGGCGGGGTTCGCTCTCGGCCCGGAGCCCTCATGGAGCCCCCTCACAGGAGCGACCTGCCGCGGGCAGCGCTTCAAACCAGCCTCGGGCGGGGTCCGGGTGTCCCGGCCGGGGGGAACGATGGGGGCGCGGGGAGAGTTGTGGGGCTGGATTTGGGTGGGTTTCAGTCGAGAGCATTCTGCGTGTTTCTTCCCCGGCCCCAAGAGTGCCTTTTCTTTCTCTGTCGCGCCGTCGTATCTTTGGTCTGGTAGCGTTCCACGCTGCGTTTCCTGCCTCAACCTTCTCTTATTTTTTTTCCCCCCTCTTAGTTGTGGTTTTTTTTTTTTTTTTTTTTTTTAACCCTCCTGAAACTCATGAGGAACTGTATATAAGAATAGTAACTGCAGTTTTTTCCTAACACAAGGAAAAAAAGCAATCGCAGCAACTAAAAGGTTTAAATCTGACCTCATGGAGTTATTAACTCTAGGTCAAGCTTGTAAGAGCTATTAAAACGTAGGAAAAAAGCCATGGAAATTTAAGATAATACAAAATGGGTTTTGCCAAAGCTAGGTCAAGCCTAAGAGGGTAGACTTTATGCTGGGGTGCTCTTGGTGGTTCTGCTTAGATTCCTTCGTGTGGGGAAGTGACATGACTCTGTGGACAGATTTAACATGCAGTTCAGCAGCCAAATTCTATCACAGCTCTTCTGAAGCGTATCTGAAAAATGTAAGTGAGCTAAATATGGTAGGTAGGTTTTTCACGTGGAGAGTAAATAATCTATATGAACTAATGATCCTTCCATTGAAAAAGTATAAAACAGCAACAAGCCGTTTTTGATGAAAGTACCTCAGCTTTTTTTTTTTAATAGATGAAACCCTAATATTTTTTTCACACAGTTTAATCACGGAAAAAATGAGTCCTTTGTGTTAAAGATCCTTCTATGTTCTTCTATGATCCAGTCTTGACGTAGATTCCTGGGGGGTGTCAGTGTGGCTGTGTTGTAAAGGCCTGAGGAAGATTCTTCTGAAGTTGCCAGAGTGTAATCAATGGACAAACCTATGTGTATTGCATATGATTATTCCTCTAAGCTTCATTATTAAATTATTTTTATTAAGTGAAAAGCTGTTTCTGTGGTTTTGGCATTTAAATAATAAAAAATTGTAATTGCAAGTATTTGCTTTTGTATAGCAAACTTATTTTAATAATCAAATTCAGTGTCTACCTGTCTTTATAAATTCTGCTTGAATTTTGATGCTTGTCAGCATCAATTTCAACACAGCAGGTTATCTTGAGTCTTGACAAGACCACTGAATTTATTAGGCTTTATCTCAGAAACCTGGGTGTTGTCTTCATGCTTTGGTTTTTTATCTTCTAGCATGTTTTCCTTCAGGGAATTTCAGTATCTATAATGCATATAATTATCTTCAAGATGTACAAGTATGCTGTCGTGCTTACTTTTTTTAGACATACAAAAGGATTGGAGTCAACACGATTAAAAAAAAAAAAAAAGCTTGTGATAAACTATGTGTGGGCTATGTAGCTTCACTTCCATTCTGATTTAGGAAGATGGGGACTGATTACTCATGTGGTTATCAGCTAAAGATACCGGGGGCAGGCTGTGTTGTAGATCGGTCAGAGGATAACGAGTGCAGTATTTATAGGGGATGGTAACAGCTCATTGTTATGCAGATGATGCAGTTAAAAAGGAAAAAATAGAACTTCTCGGCACTTGGGTTCTTTTATAAGGATTTATTGGGTCCTACAGTACCTGCAGTGTTAAGAAGCTGTGAGTTTGGAGTCAGGAATACCTACCTGCAGGTCACTATGCTGTTTCACCTGATGCAGGAGCTGCTCAAGTGCTGTGTTGCCATGTGCAGCAGTGCATTGAACCTTCAGTGTCCATTTTTCTCTTCAGTTAACTTTGATCAGAATAATGAGTTTCTTCTGCGTTTATTGGAAGAATTCAACAAGAATTTGTGCAGCATAAATTGCCCTGTGCAGGCAATTAATTCCTGCCAGACACTTTTTGAGGTATCCTGGTGTCAGTCCCATACCTGTTTTCCTACTCCTGTGGGATAAGGATTCTGTTGTAGCATAAACCACGGTTATCCATTCTTGTAAAGAAGTAATAATAGGCACAGGTTAAAAGGCTATTGCCACTCCCTGGGGTGAAGGGTTTGTTTAGGCTCCTGACAAGGCTCTGTCTTTTGAGCCCAGGCTTAGAGCTTTAGTTACAGTCTGCAGCAGAAGCAATCATAAGAAAAAGAGATGCAGTCAGTGAGGTATTTAAAATAATATTCAGATGCATGCAATTTACAGGAAGTACCCATATTTCAGGATTTATTGGTGCTCATTATGAATACAAGGGACATGAACTCACTCATTTTTACTAACGAACAGCACAAACATCAGTTCAGGAAAAGGTAGTTCTAGGAGGCAGTTGCTAAATGATCCCAGGAAATCTGACAACTATCTTACATCTGTTTGATGGACATGTTTAGACCAAAACATGGGAGAAAACATCTCTAAGCAAAACCCCAGTTGTACCTTAAAAGTGCTGGTTTTGAAATTTTTCTGTGAGAACAGAGCAAGAATAACCTAAATCTCTTGTCTTTTATTAAATTGTAATCTTAAAAGAAATTGGGAAGCTTAAATTAAAAGAACATGAAATAGATTTGCTCTGGCATCACCTGGACACATGATTTTATTGTAGTGATAAAATACAATATAAACACTTCCATAAGAATGGCTCAGCAGTATTGTGAAATGAAGCCCTAGGGAGAGGGAGCCTTCATTTTTGGGTAGAAGTGTGAAATATGGGGTACAGAATGTCTCTTGCCATAGTGACACATGTGGGTGCCCGAGGGGATTTGTCCTTGTCTGGCCAAGTCCAGCCTGAGCTGCTGGCAAACTCGGGAGATCAAAGTACTCTGCTCTCAAGAGTTTCTCATCCTTGTGGATCCTCTCCCACTGTTTTTGGAGCCCTGAAGAAACAAGGGAGTGTGTTCTAAAGTCATGTGTGAATCCAGTGTGCAGTTAAAGTGGAGGTAGGTTACAAAGCTGTCTGTCCCACAAGTCACAGACATAACTGAGGTGACACTCAGCAGTGGGGCAGTATGGAATGCAAAGGGAGATAGTTTCTTAGGTAGGGTCCATGTTGTCTTGAAGTTTTTTAGGTGAAAATTAAAACAATTATATTTACAGATGGTGACATAAATTCTGAAATGCTTCTGAATGTATTTTTTACTTTCTTGCATCGTCAGTCTTTTTTTTTCTGGTTGTACACTTCACGCCATGTTATTTATGTAATTTATTTTTACTTTTTGTTTAATAATAATAGAATATATCTGAATTTCAAATCCAAGATGGCTCAGAAGAGGAGCTCAAGTGGGCGGTCATTCCCATTGCTGCTGCTGCTGATTGCTGTGGCCTTTGTTCATTTAACTGTCTGTCCTTTTACAAAAGTGGAGGAGAGCTTTAACCTACAAGCTATCCATGATGTGGTGTACCACCAGCTGGACTTGGATAAGGTAAATTGAAAATAATGTCTTCATTTTTGGACAATGTTAAACATGGTAATTCCCTGCAGTATCTGTAGGATATATGCGGTGTGAATATGATTTATTTTCCCTTATTTCTAATTTGCTTATTTTAAGTAGATTCTCCTTTTTGCAGTATGACCATCATGAATTTCCTGGAGTTGTCCCAAGAACGTTCCTTGGACCAATTTTTATTGCTGCTCTTTCCAGCCCGGCTATCTACATACTTTCTGTGCTAAGAATGTCCAAGTTTTATTCCCAGCTGATAGGTATGAGAACTTCAAATCCTCAGAGATGTCACCCATTAGAGCACCAGTTAAAGCACTGTTGCTACATTTGGATCAATGGTTAAATTGTGAAATTCTTTTCCTCAATGAAGGAAAAACCATACTGTACTTGGGGCCAGCATGGCCATTCAGCTCCCTCTTTGGGGAGTAAATAACAGCACACAGAAAGTCTGTGCTAACAAATGTCAGGCAGTGTAGAAAAAACAAGTGTTCCAAGTCTCTTCAGAGAGTTCACTCCCATATGCAGTTCAGAAAAGATTGTTAACTTTGGCATGGAAGCATTGACCTTTGTGCAGAACTACCAGACAAGTTAAAAGTGGATTAGAACAGATAAACTAAATGGAATTTTGTTTGGCTTTTTGTTTCTTTGAAGGTAGTTATATTGTGATATCTTAAGTGTTAATCTTCAGAATGTCTTTGCATTACATTATATAACATGGCTATTCATCAGTGATCTTTGATTCCCGTTTTTATTCTCCTGATAGTTCGAGCAAGTTTGGGGCTCAGTGTGATTTACACCTTATGGAAGCTGCAGAAAGAAGTTAGAAAACAGTTTGGAGCAACTACAGCATCAATCTTCTGTCTCATCACTGCTACTCAGTTTCATTTGATGTTTTACTGTACAAGAACCCTCCCTAATGTGTTTGCACTTCCATTTGGTAGGTATTTCATAGGAATGAATTTAAAAGTTAAAACTTATTTTCAAATGTACCAGTAGTTAAAGCACAGGACCAAATTGTCAGACCAATGGTCAGACCAAATTGATATGTCTACTTGATTAAATTGTGTGGTAACAAGACTAGAAAGCTTGAGATTTCATTCTCTTTTTGTCATCTATGCTTACAGTGACTGTTTAATCAAGTTTTATTGAATCTGAGTGCATGTGGGTTTTGTCAGATGGCTTTGGTTAGCTAGAGATTTGAGGACGCATGTCTAATGCATAAAGCACAGAGCTATGAAAAGGGATGAAGTATACCTGCAGTTCAAAAAAACTCTGAATTTGGTCTGCACAGGAAAGGACTTTCAAATGGGATTGTAGAAGCTGCACCATCTTCACCTTCCTCTTCTGAAGCTGTCTACAAATGCAGCAGTTTCTATATATACAGTAAAAAAAAAAAAAATCAGCATCTTCTCTACATATAGTTTTCCCCCAGAGCTGATGAAGAGGAAAATTAATCACATGTGACAGATATTTACTGAGTCACTAAATGCTTCAGTGCAAGTTGTTCAGCTAATAACATTGTGAGGTTGATGTAAGAGCCTGTATAGATGAGAAATGAGAAACGAAAGCAGATGAATTGTCAGATGAACTGTCTAGTAATGTCTCAGATAATTTATGTGTATTAAAAAATACAAGTTGTTTAATGATTTTGGACCTTAGTATTTCATGTTTTCCTGAGGATCCTGAGCACTTTACTATGTTGAGATTTAAACTAGAGACAACTTCATCTGTAGAGATATGGTGTGTCCTGCCTAATAATGTAAATGAATTTATAGATATTTTTCCCTCAGCAGTAGTCTGTAGTCTCATTTATATGTTTGAAATAGATTTGTGTTATGAATTTAGTATATACTTAGCCAAGAGAATAAACTAACTACCCAGCTGATATCGAGCAATAATAATTATGAATTGTAGTTTGAGAAGCTTTTAGTACTCCCTTAAGATTTGTTTTTCTTTTTCCCCCCCTCAATAGCTATTAATATACTGCCTAGAGAGAGTTCCTATGTGTTCTTCTGTGATTATACTTTTCCTAATTGCTTAAACATCAACAGTATAAAGCTGTGCATTATTCCAAATTACATTTCTCTAGCAAAGGAAGAATTTCTGGACTAGAAATGGTAGGAAGACCAAGAGAGGATTGGTGGGATGTTAGAGGAACAAGAAGATAGCATTGAGCGTTACTCTTTAGAAAATAGTTCAGTATGTTGGATGATGTTTTTTGGGGTTTTTTTGTTTGTTTGCAGTGCTCCTGGCATTGACATTTTGGATACAGCAAAAGCAAAGGCCATTCATTTGGTTCTCAGCTTTGGCGATTATAGTCTTCAGATCAGAGCTCTGCATATTCTTAGGCCTCATGCTCCTGGTGACGTTATTAACTAAAAGAATCTCCATTTTCAAGGTGCTTTCCCATGCTGTTCCTGCTGGAATGTTTTGGTTGGGTAAGTGTTTGCTTGGAAGAAAGCAAATGACATTAAGTGCAAGAGAAGTCTGAAGTTTTGACTGATTTATCTGTTGAATGGCCCTTAAGGGGTTTTTCTGGCGGGTGGCAGTGGTGAGAGGTAAGTGGGGTGTTTTGAGTTGTTGTTGTTTTAGTTTGATTCAATTTGCTAATAACATGACAAGATTTTTAAAATTTCTTTCAAAATTTCTATGTGAGGAAATGGATGTGTGCAGAGCAGAGAAACTACTGCGGCCTCTGTCTTTAGATGCTTACAGTATAATGTCCTGATCTTAAAGAGGCTGAGATGTACAAGTTGACTTCAGTACAATTAATACCTGGCTGTAACTACTTGTGCATATTATCAGTTGTAGTATGTATTGCTATGGTGAAAAGCTGAGTCCCAGGATAAAATACAACTATGTGATAGAGATACCAAGCAGGAGGGTTGTGGAGAGAGTTGCAGTTCAGCTCTATTCCATTATTAAATTAAATGTAACTGCTTAATTGATCTCCATGCTGGAGAGGTTGAAAAATTCCCTTGTCTCTACCCATCTGTGGAGGACCCTCGTGTGTATGCATATAAATACTCTAAGCTGCTCCACCAGCCTACCTGATTAAAAATGCTGTTGTCAGATATGTGGCAATGACCCCTGGCAGCATGCTGTCCCTTGCACAGAGTGCACAACAGAAACACTAAACAATTATGCCAGGTGCATTTGGAGGCACCTCATGATGTACAAGCTTGGAGGTCCAATGGGAATGAACCACTGGTACTCCCCTTCCCTATTTGAGCAAAATCCTTAAATACTAGAACAGTTTTCACAGAGCTGAGTGGAGGAGATAGAGCTGACAGTTTTGCTGCTTTCTTTTTGCCTTTCATCCCTTATTCTCATTCGTCCTCCACCTGTTGAATAGTAGCAAACTTTGTGATTGTTTTTTAACTTAAAAAATAATTGTAGCTTTACAATAAAAATTTATTTAGTACTTTTGAAGTTAATGTGAGCTTCTTATCATTCATTACGTTTAATGCTCTTAAAACTCTTCTAAAACAAACCTCAATTAAACCCTTTTTTTCAAACCTGGGGTTGGAGTGGAGTGAATCCCAATTGGATTCATGTCTAACATGCTTCTTTAAAGGCTTCTGTTTAGAAGTGCGTCCCTTCCCTGCACGACAGACATATTCAGCCTTCTCTGTGGTTTTGGGTGAGGCTTACAATGCATGCTTCAGTCTGTGTTGGTCTCAATATGCTGTATATGTGCTATTCAGATGTGTTAGTTTGCTTTTCCCTGGTTTTAAGTTCATGCAGATTTGTATCTCTTTAATTCTTTTAGGGCTAACAGTTGCTGTGGATTCGCTATTTTGGAGGCAGCTTGTGTGGCCTGAGGGGAAAGTGCTCTGGTATAACACAGTTTTAAACAAAAGTTCCAACTGGGGAGTATCCTTTGAAACATCCAGAGAAAAAGAATACTGCCAGCCAAAGCACAGACTTGATGTGACTTACTTCTGAGACTCAGGGTGTTAGATTCTACTTTTCATTATTTAAAACTTATGAGACAATGTCTGTCCCTTAGATGTTTCTGCAAATTGTAAGTCTCCTAACTTTTTTCTTGCCTCTTTGTATTCTACCAGTATAAAGCCAGGTTTCTTTCCCTTGCCGTTTCATCTTGCCCATCATTAGTGCCATTTGATGTGTCTCTGTTGGGTAATGTGAATGTAATTAAGCAACTGCTTTTAGTTCTCCAAGATGAGACAGAAAATGAAAGGCTGGTAGAATGTGTATACAAAAAGTATACTGCATATTTGCAAAATTTGTGGGTACTAATGTAAAGAATAGTTACTTTACTTGTTAGCAGTGAAAGCATCCTTAACTCTTTTCACCTTGAAGACTTCTCCCTTCTTGTGGTATTTCTATTCAGCCCTGCCTCGTGCTTTGGGATGCAGCATAATATTTGTACCTTTAGGGGTAACAGAAAAGAGAACTCGGATTTTACTTTTGCCAGCACTGGGCTTTATTTTCTTGTATTCGTTTCTCCCACACAAAGAGCTGCGTTTCATCATCTATACTTTCCCTGTTTTCAACATAGTGGCTGCTAAAATGTGCTCACGAATGTAAGTTCAAAATCCAGTTTGTTGGTTTTTTTTCCTCTGAAAATGCAAAAGGAAAACTATTAGTACTACTTTTATGCACTTTTTTCATCTTGCACTCTGGATCTTATTAAAATAGTCATATGCTGTAGAAAGAATTTCGAGGTCTTCGTACCCATTTGACTGCAGAGAGAAGTGGAAACAGAAAAGTCAAATGCTTTGATGGGACTATTTGGGAAGTCTGGAGGAGAATTGAGAATAGAGCCCTAATTTTACTGTTACAGTGCAGTTTATTTACCAGAAAAGAAGAAATATTCCAGTGTACTCCTGAGCTGTTAACACAGTTTACTTCAGGAGATAGTTTAATACACAGATGAGGCTTGTGAAACGTGGAGTTAAATAGTTCTGTTTGGATATATTAAGTAAACAAACTGTAGTTCAGAGTTTAACTTCTCTTAAAGAGATTATATGCATAGCTGGAGTTTTTAATCACAGAAATACTTAGCTTTATTGATAAGTTTGTCTTAACTTTATTAATGAGAATATTCTAATTTAAATGTCACTAGAAGTTAATTTTCTAGAAATTGGTAATAAATACATACCATACAGGGTTCATAAAATTTATATTAATCTTTATTGTATAGAAGTGGAGTTTCTGTAGCAGTTGTGTCACAGTAGTCAGTGACCAGTATGAAAAAAAAATAACAGTTGATTCTTCCTTGTTTTTCTCTTCCTCAACAGTCTGAATAACTACCGGAGATCCTGGCTGTACAAACTTGGATCGTTCTTTATTATAATACATCTTCTACTTAATGCTGTTTATTCAGGAACATCTTTATATGTTTCACATTTCAATTATCCTGGAGGAGTAGCAATTCAGAAGCTGCATGAGTTGGTACCTTCAACAGCAGGTATGTAAAGCTGGCTTGAGGTACGTTCACCTAATCGTAATTTCAGTATATTTTTTCATGTATTGAATACTACTTCTTCAAACTAGGTACGCGCATCTTCTTTGTTACTATTTTGTTAATTTATTATTAATCACAGTGTACTTGGAAGAATTTTGAAACTGTATTCTATTTTCTTTATTTATGTAGATGTCTCTGTTCATATTGATGTGGCTGCAGCGCAAACGGGAGTTTCTCGGTTTCTAGAAATCAATTCTGATTGGAGGTATGTTCTGAATGAGGTATTTTGATCTATGGACAGTAGCCTGCTTTTTCTTTTTTTGCATATGCATAGGAGCAAGGATTGCAAACACAATTTCTGGTGCAGCGAATTTATTAAACCAGCTTAAGAACAATATGAATCTTCAGATAATTTGTCTGCTGTGCTGCCATTTCAGAAATAAAGCACTGCAGTGTTTTTTCATTGTTTTGGATGATTCTGATTTGCCTGTATAGTGTAGAAAATTTCAAAGAACAAGAGGAAATGGCCTCAGGTTGTGCCAGGAGAGGTTTAGGTGTGATACTAGAAAAAATTCATTCATGGCAAGGGTTGTCAAGCATTGGAACATGCTGCCCAAGGAAGTGGTGGAGTCACCATCCCTGGAAGTGTTAAAAGTTGGCTCTTGGGGCCATGGTTTAATGGTGAATGTGGTGGTGGTGCTAAGGTGACGATTTGGCTTGATGCTCTTCAACATATTTTCCAACATTAATAATTGTGGGATTCTAAAGACATCAGAAACAGCACAAAAATTGTTAGCTTACCAAACTTTATACCAATATGTTTAATGCAGCTAGGTCTGATACCTCACTAGACCTTGTGAAACAGAGCTTTCTTGGCAGAACAGTGTATATAATTATTTGTCTGAATGATGTGTGGCAGTGTGAGGCTCATGTACATTTTAATATTCAAAGTCTGTTTTTATGTGGAACATCCCTCATATAGATTGGATTGAAGCTGCTGCTGTGACACATTCATTAGTTCTGAGGGAAGGCTGTTGAGTGCTTTGTTACTATGACCAGCAGTGATACATACACACTTTTTAAAAAAAAGAGTTGGAGTATTGGAATGAATAGTAGGAGACATTGTAAGGTGGCATCGTTTGCTTTTCAGGATGAAAACCAAGTAGTAGGTACCTTTCTGATTTTAAGCCTACCTCTTCAGCTGATCATAAGTTTTTCATTTAAATGAAAATTATCTTAATGAAAATTATTCATTAGAAGGTGACACAAAGCCTCCCTTCATACTGCACAAAACAAAAGCAACACAAGCAGATTTTGATTTAAGAAGTATTCTGAGCATAGAGTTCTTTTTCCCCAGACACAGTATCCAAGATCAGATGAACATAATTTAATTATTGGTATGTTTAGAGATAAAAATACTTTGGAAGCAAAACAGAAGAAGGAGAAAGAATGCTTCCTGGGGAATTATAAAACTCATCGATCTTGCTATGCCTTTTTATTTCCAAGCACTCTCATGATGATGGTACAGACTGTTTAAAACCTTCACAATTACCTATCTACTGTTTATTTGAGATTGGTTTTTTGTATGCTGAATCTAGAGAAAGTCTTAAACCATTAATTGGGAGGAGACATTAAGCTGCTAGAGTACAAGGGATAGAATGTGCATGATAGCTAAAATGTTTCAATATTTGGGGTTTAAAATATACTTAAATACACACACTACTCTGAATACCCTCTCAGTAGTGCTTCATTCCATTGAGCTTTCTGAGTTGGCGAGTGTTGGATTGCTTTGGGTTTGTAAGGCTTGTAAGGCCTAGTGGGATTGGAAGGTGAATTAATAATATCCCTGTCACTGATAAATGTTTCATGGTGTTACAGCTACAGAGCAGTTTCTCTCTCGCTTTTATCTGTACTCAGCAGAACAAAGGCTAAAGGAAGGGCTGATTCAGCATAAAGTTTCACATTAAAAAAATCAGGCAAAATCCACAACTGTGCATCATACACAGGACTACCACTTGGTCTGACAGCACAGCAGTGCAAAGTTTGTTGGCACCAACTGTCCATTTTCTCCTTGGCTAAGCAAGTGACATCCTTTCAGATGGGTGAAAACTAACTTAACCTCTTCTTAGACAGTATATGTCAGGTGGAAACAGATTAGGGATGGGGTGGCTGTGAAGGATGATGATTCATCAGGTAACTGTAGTCCATAAATAAAAGTGTCTTAAAGTTATCAGCTTTCAGTAGTATGCTCAGATTAGATCTATTTGCCTCAAGAAAAACGCAAGTGATCTATTATTTTTCTTCAAAGGGTGATTGAAAGGAGCTTGATGCAGGTTCTTACATGGAACAGGTGTTACAATCTTGTCTTCAATTAGTGCAGTCTCTTTGAACCCTGAATAAATATGCTGTGTAAGCTTAAAGTATTTAAAAATAGTAAAAGTTAGAAATGCATGCAGCCAGATGAAAGGCCTTTTACTTGCTGATGAAGAAAATGCGAAATTAGTAGTTGGTAAGGTTGTTACAAAGTAATGCTGTTCCTTCTGCCAGTTTGGATGCATCTACTCACCTAAGGGGTATTGTGATATTTTTGGAAATAGCAGGTGAAATTAGCATGCAGTTGTTTCAAAAGTAGAAGACACCTGTTCAGTGTGCAGTCTAATTCTGCATTATATGGTGTATTTAGTGACACTTATGAATTCTGTCAGTCTTTTCTGAGTTAGCAAGATTTTAGTTAACAATTCACACAAAACCTCTGGTTTTCTGCAAAATACTTCCTTCAAATATCTTAAATGTTAATGACTTCCCTGTCAGACAGCATTATAAAAATATCAGTAGAGATTTTTTTCAGGGAGTTTAGGCAGGTGAGAGGCCAGGCCTGCAAAGATGCAGGCTGGATTTAATCCTAGGTGCATTTAAGGGTAGGTAGGGCTGGGACTGCACTGCTTCCCTTACCTGTGTCCACATCTGCAAGGAAAGTTACGGCTTGAGTAAGATGCCTGTGAGATGTGTGGAAGGATTCAGGTACCTAAGAATGGGAGCTCCAAGTGCTGGTAGAAAACAGTTCACAGAACAGGGCAACAGAAAAGGTGAAGAATGGGGCACTGCTCTTCACTCAGGTTGCAGAGCCTAACAGTGGTTTATGGAGTGTTTGGGGATTAATTTAGCTCTTTCTTCTCCTTTGAAGTTGCTGGATTGAGTACTCGATCAGGCTGCCATGTCCAGTATGAACATCCCAACCTTTAGTTATAAATTGCACCTGACTCTCCTCAGTGAATGTAGAAATAACTATTGCAAAGTGGAACCATGTCCTCATGAGACAGTGAGAGAGATCTGTCTCAATTCCTAGAAGAAGGAAGGAAAATTAAAGGGACTCATACAGCTCTTAAGAGATAATGAACTTCATTTTTGGACTTAGATCAGATGAAGACTGGCTGAAACTAGATCTTTCACATCCCTGCCAAATGGCTAAGTCACTTGTTTTCTCATCCTGTAAATTCCCTCAGTAGCTAAATCGAACAAAAATCCTTTTAAGAAATAACTGTAAGCGTACATAATAAATAGTCCTAGAACTCAGTAGTTACTTTTTTTTTCTTTTAAAATAATTATATGTATAATTTATATGTATTCTGGTACTTAAACAGTTCATAAAAGCTGACCCAAAGTGACCTGCCCAAACATGTAGTAGATCAGGGAACTGAACTTAGAAATAACAAGTGCCAAATTAGTGCTGTAATTGCCAGGCTCCTTCTTTCCTCCAGAATTCAAGGAGGTCTTCTCCCTGCTGTTCTGAGGCTCCTACTCTAATGTATGACTACCAGACGAAAAAGGTTTCTGCTTAAGTTCCACTTAAAGTATTTTTTAGAATGACTAAAAAACCCCACAAACAAACAAAAAACAGCAAAAAACCCAAACAAAACAAAACTCCCACATTTCTCCAAATGCACTTCCTGTAGAATAAAACTTAAAAATTGGTGCAGTTTCCTACAATCTTAGGCTTTGCAGTGTCCTTTCTCCACTGAATTCAAATAGGGAACTAGTAAGAAATTTTCTAGGAGTCATGATTTACATGACAATAGCAGCAGAAAGACTTGCATGGAATGACTGATCCTACATTCTTCAAAAATACTATTTCCTCCTCTAGTACTATTTAATCAGGAGATATAACTGAGAATATTAGTTTCTTTTTGTGTTTAATCTTGGATGCTACATGATGGCTGCAATAATGGCCATCTTTAATAGGTAAAGCAAGGAATAAAAATAAACCTTCTTTATTCTTTACAGGTATGACAAAAGAGAAGATGTTAAACCAGGAGACCAGTTGATGTTTTCTTACACACATATACTGATGGAAACAAATCCTCTTCAAATATCACATTACAAGACAACCCACAGGCCACTGGCAAATATACCTGGCATCAGTAAAATTGGGTTGAACCTTACTGCACTACCTCCTTTTACTTTAAACTTGAAACCAAAATTAGTACTGTTGGAAAAACTTCCTCTATCGTCTTGACTGTGAATTTTAAGTAAGTCTTTTGATGTGATTTTGCTGATGATTGAACTATATAGACAGCAGCAAATTGTCATTCCAGCACTGCAACTCAGCTTCTGTGGAGAGGCACAGAAAATCTCTGTACCAGTTGGTATTTAGCTCCGTCCTGTTTCTTACGTAAATAATACAATGCATTCCTAGTTAGTATATGCTCAGTTTACTGAGTTGTATTGTTAGATATGTTTAAAAGAGGTTGCCTACAAGTTTAGTGGTATTAAGTAAAACCTGTCTACTTGATTTGGTAGTCTGTTTCATCATGTAGTACAGGTATGTCCTAATTGTCCTGTATAAGATACAAAACCAACAGGTTTGTGTTAGGGCAATAATTTAATATGTAATCTATGTGTGCAAAGATGTATTACTTTATGTATCTGCAGCATTGTAACCCCCTGAACTGTCAGATTGCCAGTGTGAAACCTAACGATGTTATAAACATAGGAAAGCCATATTCATCATTGCTTCATCATAATTCCTCATTGTGCCCTGTAGGCTACCAAACTAATGAAACATTCACTTAAAAAGCAGTTGGACCTCTTGACAAGCACTGTTTCATAACAGATTTCAGTACTAAGGATGATTATCTTCATTCCAACAATTCATGAAAAAGCAATAACTTGGATTTCCTGGGAAAAAAGAATCTTTAAAATAATTTTTCCCCTCTTCTGCTGTAATGGTATCTTAATTTGCAGTGTAAAAATTACCTATGAAAATGTCCATTTTAAGATAGGTGCTGTTTTTGGTTTGGTTTTTTTTATTAAGTAATCCCTTACTCTAACGTGCCATGTGCTGCATTCTATAAACTAGAGTAAGATTGCATGCTCTGTAGTTAGTTTCTTAGTTTCTTTATTGGATGTTTTTGTTAAGGATGTCTGCATAGATTGCTGAATGGAACAAGAAAGAAAGGTTAATTTCTGGTTAGGGCCAGTTATAATATGACAGAAGCTCCATTAGTGTAAAATGTCAGAATAAATTATCATGGGCAGAAAACTATTCCTTGCTGACTGAAAACTTGAGTAAAATGTAATTATGGAATAAAGTGGTTTGGTTTTTTTGTTGTTTTGTTTGTTTTCTTTTTATTCTTAAACTTGCTTGATTCAGGAACTACCTTTACCTGTGTATGTTTCAGTTTTTAGGACCATGTTTTCTTTTTATCCTCTAGATTATGTATCAGTGGAACTGATCAGGTGGGGTGGAGCCTGCTCCCTCGAGGGTGGCTGTTATTCCCCAGGCTTCCTTGGTCTGAGCAGATCTGGCAAAGGCAACCTGCAGAACTTGTTGGTCCAGTCTCTGGCCGCTCTTGAAATTTAAATCATTCAAGTATTATCTATTTGACTTGTCTTTGGAAGAAAACCTAGCTTCCTCCAGAGCCAGTTTGAACATCAAACAATTCAGAAGAGACAGAAGGAAATACATGTGCAAATAGCTGCAAATTTGGAACCACACAAAGGAAAACTTTTGTTTGAGGATGTAGGTAAGCCTTCATGTTAAGGCTAATCATTGACTTCATGTAACTCCCCCACACTGGAATCCACAACTCAAGAACCCAAACTAAAATTTATCCTGCCTGCCCAGGTGTATACAAATGTCTGTGTAGTTGCTCCACCTTTCCAAATCCCTGGTTGTTGGAATCCCTCTGCAGGAACTTGCTTCTATCACCTGCAGAGAAAACCTAGGGCTACTGTGCTTGCAGAATAGGCATCTCAAGCTACTGTCTGAAGTGGCACTAAATATGTACACATGAGGCATTTAAAGAGGTTAAGCTTGCTGAATTTCATAGATCATATAGAGTCCTTTCACAGACTTGTTCTGGTGTGTAGGTGCTACCTGTGGGACTTAAACCAGTGATGGTGTTCAGCTTTGGAGCTCAGGTGTACTACTGTTCACAGCCTCATCACCAATGGAAATAGAAACAATCAGCTCAAACTGGCCTTATACTCTATTCATTTGGGGTCGAAAAGGATAAAATACATACAAAGAGACAGGAAAGAGATACTGGATTGCAGTTTTGAAGAGTGTGTGAAGTTTATTTGTGTCCTGTTACATCTTGTCCATATGTGGTTATTGAAAGTGCTTAGCTTGAAAATCTGCAACTTTGGTTTTGTAGCTAAAAGGGCTCGATTGCGACCCAGGCAGTGCCTGGAGCACCACAGTACCTGGGGCTATATAACCTCTGTAACAGCACGTATCAGGACAGGTTTAAGTTGGATAATAGGAAAAGGTTCTTCACCCAAAAGGTGGGTGAGCACTGGAACAGGCTCCCCAAGGAAAGTGGTCACAGCACCAAGCCTGCCAGAGTTTAAGAAGTGTTTGGCCAGCACTCAGGCACATGACATGACTCTTAGACATGTCCTGTGCAGGACCAGGAGTTGAACTTTGATAATCCTTGTGTGTCCTTTCCAACTCATGTATTCCTTTCTAGCTATGATTCTATGGGTAACTGCCTCAGACACAGGCCATGAATATTATGGTGGCTCTCACTTGGAATAAGCAGGGGAAGCTAGTGAACAGGGATGAAGATTACTGCAGTTTTTCCCTAAAGGCTGCTTGAATAAAAACACCAATCCTTGGAACAGAAACTAAAGCCATCTCTCCTTAAATGAATTTTCTTATCTCCAAGTCTTGTGTTGCCTTTCTTTAGCTCCACAAGAACAATAGAGCTTATTTTCTCCTTTAATATAAATTAATATTCTATGCACTTACATGGAGGAAAAAAGTGAGTTTAAGTTCCCTTAAATACAAGAAGGCATTAAGGATGTCTCCTGCTTCTTCTACAAACTTGAAGTGGGGTAGTTCAAGTTCTTCTGCATTTGGGGGACATAGGAGGAAGTGTCAGGTTAGAGAATGAATTGGGCATGTAGGACAGTGACTGAAGACTTAGACTTTTTGAAGGGACTTTAAAGTAATATGTTTCTCATGCCTGTTTGAGTTCTTAAAAGAAAAATACCTTTTGACTTGACTGATTACAATAAAGTTCAGCTTTTCTTAACAAAAACAGAAATAAGATGAGCATATTGCATTAACTGAAGGTTGAATTAACCTGAATAAAGCAAAAAGATAGTACAGTTCATCTATAAGGCTGGTATAGAATGAGATTTATTTTAGGGTGTCTTGTTTAAACTCCTCAAGGGTCAAATGTTGTGTAGCATCACACATTGCTCTTTCAAGTTTGACTTAATTTCTTGGAAGAAATGCTTGTTCCTGTAAAAAGTCCAACTGATTATTTGGACAAAAATATGTCACCAAGCCATTTCACATGAAGAAGGTGAATAATCAGTCTTACAGCCTGAGATGTAGGACATTTTGTTATAAAACAAAATAAAGTAATCGCATGAAAAGATGTTGTGGAACTTCCCAGTAGAGGACATTTCTGGAAGCTGAAAGTAAAAGCTGCTTCAAAATAAAGGTAAAGAGATGACTCTTGCATCAAGAACCAAAAGATCAAGGAACAACTTCCAGTTTCTACAGTGTCTAACATCAAGAGCTTGAAAAAATCAGACTATATTGATCTTATACCTGCCCTAAGTACTTGCTATGGGTCTTCTCTCTCAGGCTAAATTGGGGTGAGGAGACATGGAGAATGGTTGTATTGGATCTGACATCAAACACATTTATCTGCTACCACTGAGGAAAAAACAACACATCTCAGGTTCTAACCTTGTTTATCCATCAGAACACAACCTCAATGCAATCTATTTGTGCAACACATTCTGAAACACTGAGCACACTCCTTTTTCTTGCTCCCTGGCCATTTCACACATCCCCTTAGTGAGAGAGCATTCAGAACAAAGCTTGAGATTGTGCTGCTGCTCCTGCAGTTAAGAGTTGTTCCAGGACCATTCTTATTTTCCTGAATACTTGCAATGTTAAGGAACTTGAAAATAGATATGAGTTCTTAGCATTGGTTTGCTGTATCAATTTGAATGCAAGAGAGAGTGTTTCCTTTGCATCTGACAGCGTTTTTTCATAACTTACAGAAATTCCAGCAATCATAGCCTAGTGTTGCTTTCCTTTACTACACGTGCTCAGACTTACATACTCCCATTCTAGCACCACCTTCAAAAAGCATTCCTTCGTAATATTCAAAGGCTCCTTCCTGTACGGGTGACTTCACTTTCTGTTTGCAAGAAAAGAAGAAAACTTTTCATCGAGCTGAGCTTATCATTGATGTAAACAAGAGTGTTTAGCCACAACTATCTCAGTGAGCTGGGTACGTAATTAGTCTCAACTATGCCAAAACTAATGTTAGGAGGCTGTTAAACAGTGAGACATGAAATGTACTGCTACCTGCTTAACATGTGACACCAAAGATTAAAAGGGTATTTGCAAAAATTCCTTAAATAACAAATACCTCTACAAAGATTTTCTTAATTTCCTATTTATGTATGTAGGATTTCAAAGTGTAACTGGTCCATTTTGTATGCAGCTACTTATTTTAGATCAGATCTTTAGATAACCATTAGCAACTATAACTAATTTTGGTTGCTCATTTCAGACCTTTATGATAGAAAGGGCAGCCAGTGTTTCCTCTCGAATTCTATATCTTACTGTCATGGTCAGTCTTTCACCAATTCTGCTTTATTTCAGCTACAGCTGCCCTTGGTTCTATACCAAGGCTTCATCTGTCAGTTTGTGCCAAGTATAAGGTAAAAATGCTGCCTGAAATTGAGTCCACCTTTTCCTTGAAAACTGCCAGTTTAGGAAGCTGGAAGAAGGCATTGGTTCATAGATTAAATAAAGGAGTCAGGGACAGCTTAAGCAAAGATCCAGTCCTTAGAACCCAAGTTGATACCTGAGTCAGGGACGTCACCGTGGTTACTGCTTCTGGTTGGCATACTCATTTTATGAAATCACTTTTGGGTCAGCTTTGCAATGAAACCAAGAAAGTAAAGGATCTCTCTTTCTTGTTGCTAAGAATAAAGTAAAAGATGAATATGTTTGTGAAATAGTAAAATGCTTAGTTTATAAAATCTAAACAATCTAAAACTAGAAAGTGTTATTTGTTAATTGTGTATTATATATATACACACATGTGTGTGTATTTAGTTTTCCTGTGTTTGGAGGTAATGAAATGAAAGTTTAATATGGTCGGCTCTGAATAATGGCAGGGAAAAAAAAGCTACTTTAAGGGAGAAATTTCAAAAACTGTAAACATCTACCCTGAGCTGTCATCAATTCAATCAATTACATCCTTACGCTGGTCTTGACACTGCTTTGGTTGAGATTTCAGTTCTTTATAAATTCAGAAGCTGCTTTTGAGAAGCAAGGGGAAACTATGAATATTGGTAGTAAATGCTCACTCACTAAATTCTGCAGACACATTTCCTTCACTTGGACTTGGTGGGCAGGGAAAGAAGCCACATATAAAAAGAAGCACATGTGGGGGAAGCATTATCTCATGTTTCTGAGGCATCTCAGTAGATACTTTCCATTATATACCTTTCACAAGACCTGAGTTCTTTGAAAAGGCTGTTGCAGATCTCAACTTCTTCCCCTTCCTACTGTTATTACTACAAACTATTTTTGGCTTATAGTTGTCACACCTGCCTACTTTTACAAGAAGCAAAAGCTTTAAGATTTTTATGATGACCAAGTATCATCTACACTTTACTTTCTATGCTAACACTGAAAAAAGTCTGCTCACTAAATTTATTTCTGAAGTTGCTAATGTACTGAAAGTATCTGTTTAAATATCACTGTTGCAGGGTCACCATATTATGCTTTAGGGAACTGTTTGCTGCCACAGGGATTGGTGCAGCACAAACTGAGGTTGATGAGAACTCCCACTATTTACAGCTTAATTAATCTGAGGGAAAGCAATGTAAAAATATGGGGGGGTCTTATCTATTACAAATATGAGAAGGGTTGTAAAACCATAAAATTTTAGCAATCACTGAGAATTCACATTAAAAATAATAAGGCAAACTCAACACAAAACACAGTCACTCAATAACTTACCTCAAGCTTCAATGAAAGCTTTCAAGCCCTTCTTTTGGAATCATTCTTTTCTGACAGGCAGCAATGCCTGATCTGAAGGAGATGCTGCTGTAACTCCTATAGAAGGATCAAGGCTTACAACTGAAAACAGCAACTTTATGTTCTCAGTTTCCCTTATTTTTATTTAAGAATTAAGTGTTTCAATTTTAAGATCCTTTGGGCTTGCATATTATCTTTAAAAAAAAAATCTAACATAAGCCTTTAATAAATTCTTAACCAAGCTGACACTGAAAGAGTGTGGTCTTAAGAACTAAAAATCTTTAAAAGAACTTTAAAAATCCAAATGAAACCAAAATGAAAATGGGAAATCACAGGTACAAATAAAGTAGACTAACTTGATGAAATTTTACTTTTAAAAATAGTGACTAGTGCTTGTGTTCTCAGGATGTTTTGACAAAAGTCATGACTATACAATTAATTACCTGTATGATGAAGAAGTGGATTATGGGCTACAAAAATGCCATCACTACAACTTTCCACACAGGGAGTTTGATAGGAGCTACAGCAAATCTCCCTTCAGAGGAGCCAAGATTCTTGAGTCCAGAGAACTGTGATTTTCAGGTGAGCTTGTTCACTGCCAGCATTCCTCCTTGTTTGATGTGACTCCACAATGCTTTAAGTCATAGGCTGTATTTACAGTCAAGCCTTGAGTGAAAATTGTATCACTTGTTTATGAAGAAAAATGGTTTTTTTCATGCTCTCTCCACTGGTTTGGAGAGATTAAAAATCTCCTCTACAAGGGTCAAGGTTATATTCACAGTTAAAATGTAGGAGAAAAAACTGAGATAATAATTAACCAGTAACCATTTAAACATGTTTCCCAATAAGCTGCTTCAAACTCACCTACTTCCAGCTACATATAAACTAGACCAAACTGTTTTATTACTGCAGGAAAAATGTGTGCTGTTCTCATTTAACTCTAGAAGAACAAAGAGATGCTGACTATTGATAGAAGTAAACATTATCTTTTAAAATACTGCAGGGAAAAAAAAGCAGTATTAGTCTTTCCCAAGAGCACTATGTAGCAGTTTACTTAAATTGTATAGGTATAAACATAACATGATGGAATAACACTTGAAATACCTGAAACTGTAAAATGTTTAGAGAAATTACACATGGAAACCAGAGCAACTTGGGAAGTAATTCAACCAATTTTCCTGAAGTTAAAACAGCTTTTGGAAAATTAAAAGAAGCAGAATCCAGGCTTAAGTCAAAAGAGCTAAATGGAAAACCTGTCTTTTCACATAGCTTGTTCTGTGGTATATTTATGACTACAATTGTTTGAATTAATTTTTTGTCAATGGTTGTCTTAAATCCATATGAAAATAAAAGGCAGTGTTGACTACCACTGGAAAATTGCAAATAAAATGTTTAATTTCAGAAACTGAGTTCACCATTTATAAATACACTAAAACATAGTAAATGCAAAATTAGATTAGGCATAGGTAGAGTATTTTAACAAAGCTACAACTTTTCTAAAAGGTCATAGGCAAATAATGACTTGTTTCCCAAAAATGTATTCAATGAAAACTGAAATTAAAAGATAAGTCTTTCTAGAGAAAAACTAAGGAGAATGTTCCTTTCAAATTAAAATGCTGGCTATTTTTTCCATCTTATTTGAAGCTTTAAAGGCTTTATATCCCATTTGCCTGATGGACACCAACAGTTAGGAATCAACCCTACTACATAAAGTTCTAAGCAGTGCACCATATCCATAAGGCTATTACTGAAAACCAGAAGATCAGTTATTTCTGCACTAGGAGCTTTAAGAAAGGCTGTTCTACACAATTGAAATTACATTAGGAGTAAGGGCTCAATTTTTACATTAGGGACCTTATAGTTTTGATGCACTAAAGATTAGAAAAGGCTTCAAAATGACATTAGAGTCTTCTTGGTAAGTTTCTTGCCTTTTTTGTACACAGCATTAAATAACAAGCATTAATTCACAAACTTTGAGAGAACTTCCAAAGACCTTTTATAAATACCCAGAATATTTCTGTAATTCATTTAAAATGTAAAGCCTGAACAGGAGAACCCAGAACAGGAAGTTTTACTACTGATTGCTGTATAAGTGACATTTCATCTTATGTTAAATTTAAGATTTATTTTCAGATATTAAGTCAACAGTCTCCTGTAAACACATCTTCCTCAAAAACTCTTCTTCATCCTTTAAGTACTTTAGGGCTTGCAGTTAAAAACACCATATGATAAAAAGACAGCTTGAACCCCATCTTTCACGTACAGCTTTCTTTTGACAACTACAAAACCTGTTTTTTTGTAATTAAAGCAATGTTCAACTAAAATACAGTACCTGGTTTATGGTTTTTACATAATAATTGAATAAAAAACTACAGAATAGAACTGTTTACATCTTTTTTTTTTCCATTCTATTAAAACAATGACTGAGCTTTTTAAAGTTCATTTACAATTATGGATTAAAACCTACATAATTTTGTATAATTTGATGAGACAGGCTATCTCTAGTGTGAACTTTTAAAAAACATATATACAATATCTGGCCTGAAGTACTATGAATAAGGCACATGTAGACATATTGAAAGCTGAAAAAAATGAATCTAAAATTTGGAATTATAGTCACTGATTAGATGTCATACATGGCCCCTACTGGAGCAATTTAAAAATCCAAGTTATAGATAGTTAATATCCAGTGAGCAACAACAGATTTAGTCTAGCAGTTTGTTCATTAGTTTCAATACTGGAAGTATATTAAAGGAAGATTCACTTTCAAAAAGATAAGCTTTTCAAAGTGTTCAATCATTAACCTTGACTGACTAAAGTTGTTGCTTTCATTGGATGTATTGAACAATCTCTCTGAAGGAACAATGCTTGGTGGACAACCCAAGAACCTGACAGCCAATTTTGACAGTACTGGCCAAGATGACTTCTTAAAGTTCCAGTAAGTTAGAGGATCACAGTTATGCTCAAGCACTTCTTCCTCCAAGTAAGAAAGCACCATTTCCTCTGGTAACTTTGCTCTCTCTTTCAGGTCTTTTGTTTTCTTCATGTCACCCATGAGTGACCAGAGATTATCTTCCCCATAAGAATTTGTAGATGGTGAACCTATATCACATCCATTGGAAACAGGTTTATCATCATCTGAGGTAGAACTCATTATTTCCAGCTCCCTGATTAAGTCTTGTTTATATTGTTCAGCCTCCTCTTCTGTAAATAACGATGTTTTATACCGGGGATCCAGAAGTGTAGCAAAAATGTACCTTGGATCATGAAGCGTGGAGGACAATCTGCTCACCATAGCTTCTTTCAAAGATTTCAGCATAGTATCTATGCCCATAGTTTCCTCAAAGAGCATTTCTATTTTCCTGTTAAGTATATGAATCATTGGAATCACTTGGCTTAGAGTAGACATGTGTGTACTCATCTCCCTACTTGCAGCTTCGAATGGTTTGAGAGCGTGACACACTGACTGCATGACTTCCCACTGATCACAACTTATTAGCTCCCGAAAGCTGCACTCTATTGACATTTCGTCAATTGCTCTTTTCTGTTCAATAAGGCGTTCAAGCATATGAAATGATGTATTCCACTTGGATGGAACATCTTGTATTAGCTGATGCTGAGGCAACTCATACTCTTTTTGCAGCTCAGCTAACTTCTCTTTTGCTTTTGCTGACCGATGAACGCGTTCACAGATCTTCCTTGCAATACTAAGCAAATTCTGAACCATTCTCTGGCTTTTAATAGCCTCATTTACAATTACATTAACAGTGTGACTAAAACATTGTACACTTGAATGATCACCTTCATTTAAAGTTTTCTCTATGCTCTGATTATCAGTAACAGTAATCCCAATCTGAAGTCCAATGGAAGTAATCCACGTTTCCCACCAGTATTCTAGCTGTTTTTGAATACTGATTCCATTGTAGTCGCAATCGATCTGTGATACATTTAATAGTGCTGAACAATGGTAATCCTCACACTGTGGCCGAAATGAAGACTCAAATGTTACCCAGTGAGCAGTCAGGGTTAGATATTCTCGTGTTTGGTTGCTCATCCATATTCCAGATGTAAAATGGATCACTCCACTTTCAGCTTCTTTAAGATGTGAAATAATTATTTGTTTTACATTATCATACATATCTGGAATTGCTGTCCTAGAAAAGTAAGATGGAGAAGGTAAAGAATACTGAGGTTGCAAATATTCAAGCAGCCTGTTAAAGCCAATGTTGTCTACAAAAGAATATGGCTGAAGGTCAAGTGCAATCATTTCGGCTACAAGACTTGTGATTTTTTTGGCAACTGGATGAGAGTCACAAAACTTGTCATTGGTTTCATCAAAATTTGAAGATCCTAGTAATTCTGTGCGGAGTGGCATGTGATTATCCGTAGATGAGGATAATACTGTCTCTGGGACGTCAGTTTTCAGCACATTGTTATGAAACCGCTGCAAATGTCTTAAAAGGCAACTTGTGCCTAGGTTTGTTGGCTTTTTCCCCCTACTTATTATACGTCCACAGTGTGTACATATTACTTTAGTTGAATCTGCAGAACAAATTGAAAAGTGATTCCACAGTTTTGAGGTCTTCTTACTATTAACAGGAAATATAATTTGATTATCATGTGTAACCATTGTAGGCAAGTCAGTCAACTTTGAGGATGAACATTCTGCAGAAGCCAAAGTGGCATAAGGTGAATTTGCCAAACTCACATCAAGAAAGCTCTTTTGGTTTCCAATTACATCAGGATGGCGTCTATATAGGTGTCTCATTAAGCAGCTTGTGCCCATATCTCCTTTCTTACCACGACTTATCATACAACTGCAGTATCTACATACTGCTTTTAGACTGTCTGCAGGTGAGAGTGAAAAGTGGTGCCAGACTTCTGACTTAAGCCTTTTCATAATCCTTTTATTTTGCTGAAACACAGCAGTAGGTTCAAATATTAAAGGACCTAATCCCTCACACTGTTTTTCAGGAGATGAAACAAAGGAGACTTCACCTATATCATCAGAAGATGACAGCATTGAGTCTTCCACTAGAGTATCTCCAGAAGTGAGATTAGTATGGATCTCCTCAGAGATTCTGTCTGGAGAAGAGGAAACAGAAGTTGGTTCTTTCATTAGTTTTCCAGGAGAGGATGACATAGAATTCAGATCACTGTCTGATGGTAGCAAAGAAGGCAAGAGAGTAGGAGGTGTGGTGTAGAGAGGTGGTATGCTGGTACCACCCCCATTCTCTTGCAGGACAATGGAACGATGGGCTCTCCACATGTGTCTTATTAAACAACTCGTTCCTAGGTCTTTTCCATTTTTTCCTCTACTGAATTCATTCATGCAGTGGATGCAAACAGCTTTAGAATTATCTAGAGGTGACAAATAGAAGTGTTTCCAGACAGCAGATCTCCTTCTAGAACCTGATGCACTCTTTGGAATTACAACTGTTTTTTCTGCTACATTCTCAACAGTGTCATCATATTGGTTGTTGGCTTGCTGTGGAGATGAAACAACCATGACTTCTTCTTTGCTGCACTTTTCAGAAACTGAGAGGTCTGATATTTCTTCAGAAGAAACAATGGAAACAGATTCCTCAATTATTCGATCTGGAGATGGTATTTTAGAAGCCATTTTCTTGACCAGTTTTATGGGGGATAACATAGAACTCAGATCTCCAACATCAGCAGACTGAGGTGGCAACAACAATGTAGATGAAGAAAAGGAAGATATACCTGGCATAGTTCCATTTTCTTGAATTAGAACAGTGGGATGTGCTCTCCTCACATGTCTCATGAGACAACTTGTACTCAGGTCCTTTTCATTTTTACCCCTGCTAAATTCTTTCATACAGTACATACATATTGCTTTAGTGCTATCTCTAGGAGATATAAAAAAATGGTTCCAAGCAGGTGACTTTTTTCTGGAGCTTATGTTTCTGCTAGAAAGGAGGCTTTGTGTCACAGCTTCCATTGCTACATCATACAGCGTATTACTATACTGAGAAAAAAGAGATCCATAATCATCTTCATTTTCTGTAGACAAATATTTGCCAGAGTTGTTTGTAATGAAGTTCTTTTCTTTGTCTTCCTGTTCATCACTGCTGTCTGCATGTTTGAAATCATCTTGTTCTGTCTTTATATCCGTTCTTTCTAGAGTACAGTTAATGCTGTCGTCTTCTTGCTCTACTTTCAAGTTATTGATTTTACCCAATACAAAAGTATCATCCATTCCGGGGCAATCTGCTCTACTCATGTCCATGGATGATAAATTCTTGCCAAGACTTCATTTATTAATAAATATAGATAATTTAAAAGATTATTTAAAATTTGATTAAAATTATGTATCTTGTATACTGAAGGTAAAACAAAATGTGTGCATGTGTTAAAATAATCTCTGGTTTATGAATTCTGTATCCGTGTTGTGCATAAGCAAATACAATTAGTCATGAAAATTCATTTAAAAATTATAAACTTAATTAATGGAATCCCATTTTTTTTCCCAGGATCAGGACATTTCAGGTCATAGATGAATGTTCTCAAAGACAGGTACTGCTAAATGCTTCATGTTGTAGATATAATACTAAAAAATGCATGTTCTATTTTCTTGTTGAAGAAAGTCATTCTGTTCATCTTGATTGGGCAACTGAGATTCTTTTACACCATCTAAAAAAAAAATCAGAAGACAAAGTTGACTAATGCACATTAAAGAACTACAGTAAAAGTGAAATGAAAGCAAGCACTAGGTATTCTGTATGTTTTGGGTTTTTTCTCCTTTGAGATAAAAACAATTCAATGTATTATTGAAAAAAAAAAGGAAAAAGCCCAACATTTACTCAATATATTTACTGTAGGCAAATATGTGTCTACATATGCAGCTTTGGTTCAACTTGGACAAAAAGAGTCCATCAAAAAGCATCACTTTCATATTTGCTTGCACATACCTATGCAATCATCCTACATCATCATTCAATCACTGCATGCACACATATACCGAAGTACACACACACACACATATCTATCTAAACCCATATACCGTAAAGTGTCTATACCTACCAATATATATGAACATAACCAGGCATTTAATTACGTTAGCATAGAAATATGTACTTAAAATCAAATGTTGTATCACAGTCCTGTACATGTGAGCCCACCATTACTGACAGCAGTCTTTAATAAGAAAACACGTAACTTCCAAGGGTAAGGAAGCATTGTCACACTAATCACTCTGCTTCTGACCGTAGTCACACTTTTGTGTTCATGCCATAACACTGCCAGACAACAACATGGTATAGAAACAAGCTACTTTTAGAATTTCCTGATTAAAAACTGAAATATTTAATTTAGGACAAATGAGCTGTATAAATGTTATACAGGCAGACAGGTCTTCCAAAAGTGTAGCAACATCACTCAGAAGGAAAGACACACAGCTGCATATGCTGGTGCTAAGTGCAGCACTGCCAGCTCAAGTCCCTCACATGCCCAAAGGTTACACTAGAAAGCCCATTTACAATAAGACAGCTAATTTCAGTTGTGAGTAAAGATTATTCACCCCCAATTCCAGTACAAAGAGTAGGTTTTTGAAGTTGCATACAAAAGGGTAACAGCAGCCTCAAAAACTGGAACTGAGTAGTCCCTCACAAATATGAAGAAGCTGTTTGCATTTATCAGTCACTTTTTTTTCAACCACAACTATATTAGAATTTTAAATTTTGCCAAACCCTTTCTCATTTATTCTTCTGTGTCATTAATGCAGTTATTGATGCCTTCATTCAAGATAAACATTTTTGGCCATGACATTGATGATGCTATACTGTGCATTGCATTTTTGCAAACTAAATTTATGGAACTCTATCTCCACAGCTGAAGCCAAAACACAGATTTAAATTATTTTTAAAATTTTCCAAAACTTTTATATGTTACTAAAACACAGGGAGAATTGGGGTGACTCTTGAGGTGTCTTGTGCAGGGCCAGGAGTTGGACTTGATAGTCCTCATGGATCCCTTCCAAATCAGCATTTTCTTTGATTTCAGCAACAGTAAAATTAGCCACAGCCACAAAACACATTAAAAAGGCTGTTTTTCACACTGACATTTCCTCCTGTATCAAGATCAATGTCATATTAGCTTTGTAACCCATTTTAACTAATTTTTCTCTGAGATTTGTTTACAAGAGAAATTAGAAACACTCACTTTCTGTGGATTTCTGATGTATGGAAAGCCTATTTTTGTGATAACTTCCTTTCTTTTCCAGTGCAAGGGAAGGGGAAGGGAAAAGGAGGGGCAATGGTCTTACTGCAGCTATTTTAAGAAAAGGGAGATGGAGCAGTCAGAACTTGCTAAGAGGTAGGGAGCAATTCTGCTTTTCTTTCTGTGTGAGTCTTAGTATTTGTGCCTTTCTTTCTTATTCTTGGGGAAAAAAAAAATCTGTTTTCAGATACCAAATATATGAGGGTTGAGCATGAAGAACAATGAAGAGAAAGACTTGAAGAAAAACCTTAGATTTCTACAAGAAATTTGCATTACACAGGACTTTCCATTGGCTTGTGAAATCACATCAGAGAACAATTCTGGCAGCCAGACTAAATTTACATGACTCAATATAAAATTGAATGAAACAGAAAGTAGTGATCACACACATACTGAAGATATGGATGTATGTGGATCTGGGACAAGAGAGAGAGTGTAACACAGTCAACTTTTTAAAACAGCAGTCAATTCAAGAGGATTTTTGTTTCATCTTTACTTTGATCTAATCTGTGAATTTGGAGCTTGTACTGCAAACAGGAAAAGCAAGAAAACATAATAAGATGTTGTGACTTAAGATCACAGAATAGGAAGGCTCACAAGCGAGTGGCTTGATGCAGAACTTAAGGAACATAAATTATGCATGGAGTGCCAAGTTACAATAAGGACATTACAGATTCCTAGCTAGATTCACACAAAATAATTGCATATATCCACTAGAATTGGGTTCTGATGAAGCTGTGTGCAATTTCTTTGACTCAAAACAGGTAATCACATCTTTATCCTGATTCCTATAATTTCTCAACTATGCAAAACCAATTTTAGGCTTTAAACAGAAAAATCTGCAGAGCCGCTTTAAGTGTCCCTGTCCTGATAAGCAGTTACTGCTTAACACAGTGAAGCTTAAAGTAGCTGTGATGGGAAGATTTGAAAACCTGATAAATAACACCAGTCACAAACTTTATAACCACGCTTAACTAGATTGCCATTCATTAACAACACATTGCCCGTGGTTAAGTTCTTAATCACTATCAGCCATTATCACTACATATTCAAACACTTAGGCCCTAATCACCTTATCCTAAATTAGCTTTGAGTACACAATACCACTGAGCTGATGCCGTGTAGTTAAATACTGATGGCTGTAGTCCTTGACAGTCTTAGTTACTGACGCTGAGGTAAAGAGGTGAGGGAGCTGTTTGGACTCTGAAGCAGGAACCACGGTGGTAGTAGACTTCTTTCTTCCATATGTCTCCTTATTGTCACTGTGTCTTTGCTTCCCACATGTTTTGGTGGAGGAGAGTATGAATATTGCAATCTCATCTGGTCCTGACCCTATTATCTTCTTTCTTTAGAACAATAAATTGTTCTTGGTCCACCAGAAATCCTTCCTGATTATTCTGTATCTTTGGTTTCTGATTGTCTTTACTGCTTGATTTGTTGATTCATGTATATTTTGTCCTCCTTTTGTGCAATTAAACCTAGGTTTCCCTTTGCAGCTACAATGTTATTTCTATATTTATGCTTAGCTGTGAAAATGCCTGCATGCTGTTCACAGAGCTATTATGCTATTAGCACTGTTAAAAAGCACTTACATGGTGGTCACATACGCTATTTTAGTGTACTTATGACTGAATGTAAGACAAGAAAAAATTATTTATATCTTGTCCACTCTATGGCTGTCATAGGTCTCTGGCTACATAGTATGTATTTTTCTCTACCTTGTTGCTGCCTTCTAGAAATGAGCAGAAATAGCTGAGATTAGAGGAGACAATCACTTCCTGGGAAATCCCCAAAGCTGGATGCCCCTTAGAAGACTTTGAATGATTTTTTTTTTCCATTTTCTTTCAAATGTCTAAGAATTATTTTTGTTGCTTTGAGAACTGGCCAAATGGCAGAGCTCAGAAGGTTGCAATCAGCAGGCAGTCTGGTTAGAGGAAACCTAACTAGAACAAACCTGAAACTCAGGAGGGATTGTCTGAATACAAGGAAAAACTTTTCTTTTGATAGTGACAGAGCATTGGAAGCGGCTGCCCAGAGAGGTTGTGAAGGCTCCTCTGGAGATATTCAAAACCAGACTGGACAAAGATCTTGTCCAACCTAATCCAGCTGAACCTGCTTTAGCAGGGGGAGTTGGACTAGATGATCCCCAGAGGACCCTTCCAACCCCCACCATTCTCTGATTCTGTTACGATCATGTAAAATTAAGTCAAGCTCCTTCCCTTCAAACACCCTTGCACATTCAACTGAAACTTTCTTTAGAACAGTCCCCAGAATACTAAGGATCAGACACATAAGTATGTTTTTCATCTCCTCCTCCCATTCCAAGTCTATGCAAGAGTCAGTCTGTTTTAATAAGAAACAAAAAATGATGTTTTAAAATTTTATAGTCACCTAGAATGAAGTATGAATTTGATTATGACCACTTTTACATAGCTTATTTACCCTTGGACCCAAGCTACTCAAAATTAAGGACTACTGCTAAACAAACAGGATCTTCAAGAAGGAAAATGTTTTCAAAGGTACAAAAAGCTATAGGCAGTTAGCTCAAAGTGATTCATGCTTTTGAAATCTCCACAATGAGATACAGAGACACCTTGCAACAAAACAGTCTTCAAAGCAAATAAACAGAACTAAAGAACAAGAATCTACTCACATGCACTACTCTGGACTATTAGCTCCCGAGCAGTAGTTTGCTGTGGTGAAGCCTACAGAACATTTTTATAGGATTTTCCATTCAAAATGGGATTACTGAAAGCATACAGTGGTTGACAAGAAATGTCTGGAGGATGTCACTGATCCTGAGTGCCGCAGCAAACTGCCGTGACCAAAAGAAATCACTGCTGAAGGAGGGGGGTAAAAAGTGAAACACTGGTGTCTCAAAATTGCAGAGACATATATTAACACACAGAAAAGTATGAAAAGTATGCAATAACACCAAACCATAAGCTGATTATTTTTTGTAAAGCAGAGAGTGGCCTGGAAGCTTTAAACCACTTTAGATTGAATAGTCAGGCGATAATCATGAACTTGATTATATCACAGAATCTTGGTGGAAATAATGGTCTAGAAAAAAATGTTTAAAACAAAAAAAAAGTACATGATTATTGAAGACCATGTACTGTAAATACAAAGACACACCTGCAAAATGCAAGAACTTTTTTTTTCAAGAAACATGTGAAATGTGAAGACAGTGAAAGTAAAAGCATTTACTAGCTTGAAAAAAAAATTGAAAGTAGTGACAGATTTTGAGCGTAAGATGTACATAAAAGCTCATTAACAGTAATTTGCACAAACAGATGTCAGTTTTATAATAGTGTTAATATTGTTTATTTTTGGAAATATGCAAGCATCATTAGAAATACCTCAGAGCAAGCAATATAAGCAATAAGAAATACACACTTTAAGAAACTATTTGC